CATGATCCGATCATAATCCGGTCGGTGAGAGCCGAGTCAACATTATAGCCGAGTCATAACCGGGTTATGACCGAAATCATTTCCATGATCGGATCGCGATCGGGTCACAGTCATGACCCGACTATGATTACGATCAACGAGCTAACCCCAAAATGTCACTTATTGAGAGCTTCAAGGTTGTCTGTTGAGCTTTGCATTTTGAGCTTTTGACCGCAATGTACAGAGCCTGAGGGCTTCCAAGCTTTTCTGTTGAGGGTTGCATATTTGAGCTTTTGACTACAATGTAGTATCAGAAGCAAACAAGCAATTCTTCGTACCTTGATTTAGGTCTCCGGTCTCCCCCTCCATCGGAGAGCCATCCAATGGAGAAAGAGGGCGGGGACGACGACGCTGCTTCTTAGACGCGCAAAAAGTATACGATACAGTATGGAGAAATGGGCTGTGGAAACATTGTATGGGATACAGGGGAAAATGTAGAGAGTGCTGAAGAAGATGTCAGTACGAAAAGCTCTGTCATGATGTCAAGATAGACCGAGAATTGGTCATTTTTTTCAACGCTTCACAGGGGGTGCCACAAGGTTGCATCTTGTCCCCAACACTGTTCCAGGTGTTCATCAATGATCTGCTGAAAGTCGTAGAGGCCGTCGGGAAGGGAGTAAAGGTAGGGGCCACGGAAACAATGGTGTCGGGGATGCTGTTGGCGGATGATTTTTTTGGGATGTCTGATACCCCTGAGGGATTTCAACAGCAGATTGACGCAGCGAAGGATTTTGCTAAGTAGAAATTGTCTGCCAACGTTACGAAGAGTGCAATCGTCATGGTATGCCACGAGGGACAGGAAGAACCCATTGAGTATAGATCGAAGTGGGAGTTCGAGGAGCTTGCAGTAGTGGATCAGTATACCTATCTCGGAGTAGTGATCGCAAAAGACTGCAGATGAAATGGACGCATACATGTCCAAGGTTGCGGCAAAGGGCAAAACACGAGCAGGGAAGCTGCGCCCAATTCTCGAAAACCGGCACCTCGATACACGCATCAAATCGACAGTTTTGAAGAGCGTAATCGTACCGTCGCTAGAGTGCGCCGGAGAAGTATGGGAAGGAAATCTTCGTGTGTTTGGATACTCGCTGGTTAGATTTACCGGCAACAACAGAGGGCACGCAGATGGGGCATATGTACACCTTGAAATGGTTGCATGTGCGGGGACCCCTCGAACTCCAAAGAGGGCTTCACTTCTCGCTACTCCCCTTGGGTGTCTAATACAAGAGATAAAACGTCTTCCCCTTCCAAATAAAGGACATATACGAACACACTAGTGTCAGTCCCTCGAGGGAGAGTCCATTAGGAATGTCAGGTCGCACAGATGGGGGTGACTCCTCCAGCGACTCTGCGGCGGAAGACAGAAAGAGGTCAAGAGAAGAGCTCGTGGCCCTGAGGACGCAAGTTAGCTCGCTGACGGATCAGATGAGCCAGCTAAGGTCGCTAGTGGAAGATACCATGAAGGCAAGCAAGAAGGAGGAGCCAGCTCGTACCATGGAAGGTGCCGCTGATTGCGGCGATGCTAGGGAGAGCGCCGCCGCGGAGTCCACAAACGCCGAAGGAGGGGCACCGTGGACGGGGAGTGCGCAGGACGGGAGGTACCTGCGCGAACCTGTTCGAGAGTCTGGCCCGTCAGGGCGACACAGCGGCGAAGCAGGGGGCTTTGTCCCCCAAGAGGTGAGAGTAGCCGCTGCTCACAACCAAGATTATAGTAGTGCCATGGGAGATGGTGCTGTTGGTTTTGGACACGGAGCCACAACCCCAGCGACGGGGTACCAAAGTGTGCGATACACTTCTCCTCCGTTGAGCGGGAAATCGAAAGATTTCAACGAATGGCTAAATGATTTTCGCATGGCAGCTAATGGCGCAAACCTGTTGGAACGATTTGAAGAGAGCGGGAGCTTGGAGATCCCCGTCAACAGCGGAAGGAGCAAGTTATTGCTGTACCGGAGCGAGTAAGTAGAGCTCGCATTCCACGCGTGGAACTTCCTGTCTCACGCGTTGAAAGAAAAAGATCGGAAAATCATGAAGCGGGCAGAGGCGCCCGAGGGAGCTCTTCGTGAGCTCAAGACCACACACGACCCTGAATCACCTGTACAGCCGTCAGAGGACCTCAAGTCCCTGACGTCGACCAAGATCTCTAGTGGTGAAACCCCCCAAAACGCCCTCAATGAGATGCTCCAAACCGCGAAGTTCTTAACCGAGAAAGGACTAATTGTCAGCGAAACGTTCGTCCTTCACCTCTTCCTGGATGCCCTTTCGGACGAGTATGNCGGGCAGAGGCGCCCGAGGGAGCTCTTCGTGAGCTCAAGACCACACACGACCCTGAATCACCTGTACAGCCGTCAGAGGACCTCAAGTCCCTGACGTCGACCAAGATCTCTAGAGGTCAAAACCCACAAAACGCCCTAAATGAGATGCTCCAAACAGCAAAGTCCTTAACCGAGAAAGGACAAACTGTCAACGAAACGTTCGTCCTTCACCTCTTCCTGGATGCCCTTTCGGACGAGTATGCCATGACAAAGGACAACCTGCGACACGCGAAGGAGTTGATGCGGACCGGTGTGCTAAAGGAAGTAATGATCGAATACAAGGCGATCAAGGACAAGCTGGAGCAGGGGAAAGGAAAAGGGGCGAAGGGCGCAGAGCAAGCGTACTTCGCCGACGGTAAGGGCCGCAAGGAGCGGTCCTCAAAAAGGAGTCAGGGGCAAGGTCGTGGTCGTGGCGGCGGCCGTGGCCGCAGCAGCAGTCGTGGCCGCGGCGGAGGCGGTCGCGGCGGCGGCGGCGGCGGTCGCGGCGGCAGCTCAGGCGGATCAGGAGGAGTCGACGAGAGCAAGGGAAGCAGCAGTGGAGGTGCCGATGGCGGCGGTGGCAGGGACTATAAGTTCCCGGGCCGGTGCTTTAGGTGTGGACATCGTGGACATCAAGCGATCGGCTGCACTACCAACGAGAAGGATTTCGTGCCGTGGTGTGCGCGCTGCGAGGGGTGGGGCCACACCAAAGGAAAGTGCGCGACGGAGGAGGCCGTCCTAGCGCAAGCGGTGGAGCATGAGAGCGACGTGGACTCCGTGGAAGACCAGGCGTTTTGTGCCGTGGCAGTCCCCCCAGGCAAGTGTGGTACCGTTGGTGGAGTAGGTCTAGTGGGGGTTGTGGAACAAGGCCAGGCGGTGCACGTGGCCGCTGTGTCCGCCACGTGCACCATGTTCCGATGTGCAGACAACTTCGTGAACTACCGTGAACGTAGCGGTTGGGTGAAGGGGATCGGAGGCGACAAGGCCCCCGTTCCTCTTCTAGGATACGGAGATGTGACCTTAGTCCTACAGACGGAAGATGGTGGAGAGTACCCGTACCAGTACTGAATGCTGCCCATGTACCAGAGGCCCCCTACAACCTCCTCTCGCTGTCTTTGTTGGCGGTGGAGGGCCACGCGTATTCGGGGATGAAGGGGGGCCTCACGCTGACCATGAAAGCCGGGGGGGAGGTGTGGTTCCCCCGGACTGGAAAGCTGCTG